CTCTCGACCCGCGCGGGAAAATAAGCACGGTCCAAAATGGTCCTGGGTTCGAATCCCGGGCTGGTCGCGGCATGGTCCCGGCCAATGCCCTTGCTTTTTCGTAGATTTTGTCACGTTTTCTGTTGGTTTATGAGATTTTCAAAGGCTTTTCTGGCATTTTCCTAGGAATGCTCTAGGCTTTGTCTTTTTGGGTACCTGCTTTGGTGGTGCTGGGTTGGGTCTAAATTGGTAAACCTGGGAGGTACCCAAAAAGTCGACTTTTTGGGTACCTGCTTTGGTGGTGCAGGGTTGGGTCTAAATTCTTGGGCAATGATCGGGGTTCATGCAAGAGCTGACGTCCGATGGTAAATCTGGGAGGTACCCAAAAAGTCGACTTTTTGGGTACCTGCTTTGGTGGTGCTGGGTTGGGTCTGCACTCTTAAGGCTAAGGCTAAGGCTTAAGGCTAAGGCTAACATAGAGCAAGGCTAGCGCTAAGGTTCTATCCCTTGGGGGTCGGCGGCTGCAGGCGGTAGCCTGGTAAATAGCGAACTTTGTTACTACTAGTAAGGCACTTGCTACTACTAGCGTGGCACTTGTTACTAGTAGTAACAATGTTAGCTCTTAGAATTCTATGTGCCTGGAGGGTCTGGACCTCACACGGCTCTGCAAGAGGCTCGCCCAGTAGGACTTAGCTTTCCCGATGGACCGAGCGGTCGTGATGGACACAAGAGGCATACTAAGAGGTAATCATTATGGAGTATACGAGAGGTATACAGACGAAGTATATAGACTAGAGGTAATAGGAGGTATCTATAGACCTACAGTGATATACGCTTTTGGATCCGTCATAAAGACACGCACAAAAACAAAGTTGATCACCTTGTTGATGCAATGTTGGAGAAGAGCCCAATCATTTTGGGAGTGTCGTTTTTTGAGTTTGCATATCAGCTTTGGTAGGGTAAAGTGCGCGTATGGTTCATGTCATCGCCGTACAAGCTATTATGAATGGAATCCTCTAGCGCTCAATGCACAGGATGCTACTCTCAGCAGATTTCCTTCCTGTACTTTTTCAGTGGGGTCTTGCGGTCCCCCATTGCCATCCCAAGATGCATCCATTCCGAGGTCCAATCAATTGGTAAACAAAAGATACCCCAGGATGGCGAGTCCAACAGTTCGTTGTTAAACCTCAATCCGAGTCCAAGCAGCCACGAGCTCTTCGTGAACTTCGCGTGAAAAGTGGAGGTTGTCGTGCGACAACGGCCAGGATTGGACCTGTGAGATTCAAAGGCGATCTGTGAACCCAAACATTCAAACATGAAGAATCTCCCACCTTGACTGGAAACATGTAGATACACATGCTCAGAGACGAAGCAGGTATGGTACCCGCATTGGTTGGAAGATCTCTTCATTTCGCGACGTGTGTATGTAAGACTCAGGAACGACGTAACACACCCTGCCAATGCCTTTGAGAATACTGAGAATCCTTGCGAGGGGAATCTGGTAGTCCAAAAAGAAAAAGATCAGAAGTGGTAAGGAAGTCGGAATCAACCGTTTTAGAAGACAAAGATCTCGTTTAGGAGTTTGAGTCCAATGGCTTTTCCAACTGCCAAAGATTGAACGGCGATTAGTGCCGGACCGGACCCGGTTTTCCAGCCTGGTCAAAGTCTGTTCTCACCTCAAAGCCTTGATCGTATGCCCAGTTCCTGCGGGGAGCTCTTCAGCTAGTGAAGCCAGTGACAGGCGTGGTCTCACGTGGTCTCACTGGGTTCTCCTTTTAGATGTGTTACAAAACACACACACAGACTTCCTTTTGTGTCTCCCTTTTGCTTTTAGACCTGGTCTGGCCTCTCTTTTTCTCTTTCCTTGTATTCATGTGTTGATGCTTTGCTTTGACCCTTTAGATTCCTTTAGATTCTTCGTGTCCTTTTAGTTGCCTTTCAAATTCTCTTTTTTTTGTGACGTGTGCCCACCGTGAGACCACTAGCGAACCATCACCAGCAAACCTGATGGATCAATCACAACCGTCATCAACCGACCGATGGAACCGTCGAGAGCATGGCAGATGGCGCCGATGACATTGAAGTCTCTTAAAATCTACCTGTTTCACTTGTTACTAGTAGCGTCCTTGCTCCTAGTAGCGTGGCACTTGTTACTACTAGTAAGGCACTTGTTACTAGTAGCGATGCACTTGTTACTGCCTGTTTCACTTTTGGAACCTCCAAATTCCTGAAATGGCCTGCCCCGAAAGCCAATCGAGCCAAACAAGTGGCTGGACACTGGCAGTCCTAATCTTGCTCATGTTGTCATCCTTGGAATAACGCTTTTGACCAGATGGTGGGGGTGCAGGACACCCTCCAGACACAAGCCGGAGTCTTTGGTGGATGAAAGGAGTGCGCCTCTACATCCTCTACCACTTCAGCGGCATTATGACAAAACAGGAGTAGAAACAAGTGCATCGCTAGTAGTAACAGGTGCCTTACTAGTAGTAACAAGAAGCTAGTAGAAACAAGTGCCACGCTAGTAGTAAAAACAGAATGTCAGAATGTTGGTTTGGCTAAACTACGTGAACCCTCTGCGGCCGTGGCGCATATGGCTGGAAGTAGCCGTACTTGGCCGCGAAACCTCCCATGAAGAAGACCACATAGTCCGCCTTTTCCCTCAGCAGCTCGAAGCACCGAGCCCACATCTGACCGTGGTGCTGCTCGTCCATCGGCACCTTGGACGTCGGACACATGAGACGCCTCGGGACGTCCGCCAGTAACAAGTGCCTTACTAGTAGTAACAAGTGCCACGCTACTAGGAGCAAGGACGCTACTAGTAACAAGTGCATCGCTTCTAGTAACAAGTGCCTTACTAGTAGTAACAAGTAGGAGGGAGTCGCGGCGAGTCGCGTGTGGCGGTTTTCACCAGGTCCGCGTCCGACCGCTCCGTTCGTAGCGGCCTTGCTCCGTTCGTAGTAAGGCCAGGAGCCCCTAGGCCCTTGTAGCGTCCAACAAAAAAACTCTGCTTTTCAGAACAGCACTGAATATAGTTACAAGGAGGATGGTGTTTCAAGGTCTTTCCTCGCTACCGATACTCCCATCATCCCATTGTGGTGAGCCAAGCAGCTCCAGTGTGTTCATTCCCGAAGTAGCTGATGCCAAGAACTTCATAGCCTGGTGGGGACAATGGTGTTCACTCTTCGTGATGGGCGGACTGATTGTTGCACATTCCGTTCTTTTGAAAAGGAAACACTTACAGTGACCCTTTTTGGGCACAAGGAACATAGATTGACCATTCTGAGACAAACAATTTGGGAATGGAAAGGATGTGGTGGGATGGCAGGAGAGTTCAGAGTTGGATCAGATCTTGAAGTCCAATATCCATCAACGTCCCAAACAACTCACGCGTACATCATGGCTTAATGAAGCTCAATGTGTGGCATGCAATTGATGCCTAATTGACGTACAATGAGCAATTGATGCTGGAAAATTTCCTTGATTGCTCATGTCGGGCAAATCTGAAGACGCAACATGCATCCCTTAAACTCGCTCGACAAATGGACAGCTTCTAGCAAAACACCTGTAAATTGTCTTGGGTCGAGGAAACTAAGGGGAAGGACTTGAAATGGGCACGTCTAATCTCCACACACTTTGCCCTTGTAGTTCATTTGGTGGAACACGGCCAACTGAATGAAACACTGATTTAATTTGTGAATAAATGTCACGGCCCCCCTACACCATCCTAGACCCGTGAAACAAATGCAACTGAACCACCCTCTGCTCCGAAGCATTGCGTGCGCAAAACAACTACTTGTCGAACCACTTTGGTACGAACACTCGGTCGGTATTGGCATGTAACCATCCGCCCATACAGGCTCCTACTAAGTAGTGCAACAAATGTAAGCACACAAAGTCGATCGGTGTAAATCTTCGAGCGGATCAGCTGCTGGACCATCCAAGTGTCTGTCCCTGAACTCTGCCAATTGGTCTGTCTTTGCCCCCGAACACTAACACCATATTATTGACTCCAAGTTGCTCCGCGGATGCCTTGGCTGAGCGAGTGACCAAAAGTACTGAACTTACCTTTGATGTTGGAGAACAAGACATGGCTGATCATGGCTGCATCTGAACTCAAGAACAAAGAGACAAATGGCTGCAAAACCCGAAGAAAGTCACTCCGCGGTCACGAAGATGGACCATTTCGAAGAAGGTCGCCGAAGGTCATGCATGCGACGCTTGTTTTCTTTCAACAAATGAACACGGTGAGGTTTCAGATGGGTTTAGATGAATTTGGATAACTGACTATTAAGATGATGACTTTAGGGATTCCAAAGTTTTCGATTTGGAGGAGTTGCCTTCTCATCTTTCTGTTCTCTGTTGGATGTCAAGCCCAGAAGAGGACGGATCCGCCAACAGTTGCAGTCCCTTAAATGTTGGGTAGACAAAAACATCGAAAAAACATGCGAGACATCCAGCAACTTCCTTGAACCTCCGCGTGAACATCGGGCAATTCACATCACATGCGTGTGAGAAGGGGCCGAAGGCGCCTACAACTTGCTGCCCCAGCACGTAAGGTGAAGAATGAACTCCTTCACTCCACCACCAGGGCATACGATGACATCGACCTCCTCGTGCAACAGCAGCTGGAGATCAGGCTTGATGTGTGTCCTGAGAGCGACCATGGGCGACCTCGAGCCACCCAGCTGGGGGGCGAAAGACTAAGCTTTGTGCCAAGTCTGATGGTGAACCTGTGGGAAGGGTCTCCAACCTAAGTAGTAGCTTGCTACTGGTAGCTTCTTGCTCCTAGTAGTACGGTCAGGAGCCCCTAGTAGCGTCCTTGCTCCTAGTAGCGATGCCAGGAGCCCCTAGTAGCTTCTTGTTACTAGCAAACTATATTAGACCAGTCTTCCTTCTTCTTTATTGTTTCCAATAGCGATGGCCTAGAATCCTTCACAGACGAACACGGCCATGTTGAAGAGATCCCCCTTGGTGCCCGTAGCAAAGTGAGCCTTTGTTGAATTATGAATATTTTATATATTATATACAGTATATAATATAATATATGCATTGGATTCCCTTGAATCAGACAAAAACAACGTAAGAGCTTGGTGGAAGACGGAAACCCATTGAAACACCTGGTAGCCTGGTAGGATGGAGAGCAAATACTGAAACGTGGTCTTTGGTGATCACTATCCATCCCAATGATCGCCCCCCCCAAAAAAGAAAATCAACCCTCCTGAATCACTAGATTGACGAAATATATAGTTCCATCCGAGAATGACCATGTTCAAGACAATGAAAGATCTTAACATATCTGAACCATTCATCTAGACTTCTGAGAGCAAACCGTTGAACCGTCCGGCGAAAAGAGACCGAGTTGCCGCTTGTTGTTGCCTCGCTTGGTGTAGAGCGAAGAATCCCCCAAGAGGCCGTAGCGTCGGCGCTCCAGCTCCATGGCCGAGGGCCATCCGGGCCGGGCGGGTTGGTGTACCGAAGAAATCTTCTCAACTGGGTGAGGAACCAGCTGTTTGCTGTTTGGTGTGTTTGGTGAGTTGGGTGACTTAAGTGAGCCGAGTGAGTTGGGTGACTTAAGTGAGCTCGTGCTCGCTGAGAGCATGTTCAAATGGGAGTTTGAAGTTGAAAGTTGTTGTTTCTCAAGCTGATACTTCTTGGCTTCTTGGCACCTTAACCGTATTAGCTCCAAATGATCCAAGCTCAAGATTCTGAAAGCTTTTTCTTGGGGAGGAGGGCCAGCTGACGATTTCATGGT